CAGCTAATGGAAGGTGAGACAATGCGAATCGATCGAAAAATACTATAATTTGTGTAACATTCTTACCGGGCATTCTTAGCATTGAGATCGAGTTACAAGACCGAAAGTTACTTATTAGTTACTTTTTCACTTTAATTCAGAAATTTCGATGAAAATAAATAGTAATTTTGTGTCGTCATAAACGTCAACATGCAGGTTTGCATGATGAGCGAGAACGGGAGATTACTTCATAATAATATTGATTGCATAGAGTTTTTTCTGAGAAATTTCCCGTGAAAATTTATTCACAGGATGACTTGTGTTCTAGGCAGTGAATTTAAAAAGTGAACTTTTGAATGATGACTATTTTCCCCACTGTTAACAATGCGAGCTTATTATGAATATGTTTAATTAATACCGAGTTATTCAAATAAAGGTTCTGGTGTCTACATTGCATATTTTGTTGTACCATCATAAATGGTACATTTTGTGGAGCAGACTGCCTAAGTTGATGTCATAAAATTACACACAAAATTAGAGCTCGGGTTGCACCAGCAAGCACCATTTTCAGCATGCTGTTCTTGTTTTCGGCGGTTGACAGAGGGGACACCTCCCTCTCCTCTCTTCCCCGTTGTGCTCGGTCGCGGGAAAATGCTCCACAGTTTCCTGACAAAGTTTACTAATACTTTTTTTTCTTGATTAGTAAATTTACTATTACCTAGCAAATTCCAGAGAGAGCCCAGATCAGTGCATTCCAGTTAGCGGTAAAAATTAGGGGAGTGTTATTTTTGTAGTGTCCAACTTCTAGTATGCGATATACACGTTGTTCGTCCTCAGATTTGCTAAATTCTTCCCTAAATGCTCTTTTCGAATTTCGGTGTGATCATAGAGGTAATCAGAATTACCTTTTATTACCTCCATGGTGTGGTTCACTAACAACTACTGTCATCCATGTCACTACCTGTGTTTATGTCTTGCGATGTATTGAGATAGTTGATTGGAACAATAAGAGAACGTTTACTAGACATGATAAAAACTGATAACCTAAACAAACGTGGCACGCATTACTTCAATAAAAAACGCCGCATTGCCAGTCTGTTTATTAGTTGTCTGACCTTATGATCAATAGGTTCAAAAGTTCAAATTCAATGTCAAATAGAATCAAACCGTATGAAGAGCAATTTTCACTAACTGGTGCTACTGTAAAGTAACCGTGATGAAACAAAATAGCCACAAGTCAATCATTTTTAATATGATTTCAAAAATAAAATGTGTTCATACATGACCGATTCCGTTCCAGAATAGTAGAAATAACTGGTTTTATTGCATTTTTAGCACAAAAATAGTCGTCATTTGATCATAAAACAAATGGAAGTAACGTGTATCCCAAGATGCTTGATGTACGTGTGAATGTGATCAATCCAGGCATGACTGAGATACAGGAGGACAGGCACACATGGAGGTAATTTTCAAACAGCATTCAATCAGGGAATGCTGCTGTGTCAGAAGAATTGAATACAAATGCAAAACAGCATTTTTTAAAAGTTAGAAAAAAAACGAGTCTAAGAAATCAAATACAAGAATAGTCTGAGATACCTTTCTCTGGAATGTGCCATCTAACGCCGCTACAATCACTTTTTTACCCTTACTTGCCATTTCTTCACTAAATTCTACACAGTCAGGAAACTGGAAAATGAATAAAATAATTAAATAATTAACTACATGAATACAAAATTTAAAGAGAAACGTTCATTGCATTGAAGAGAAAGTAGCATGGGTACCATGAAAAACAAAATGGCCGCTCCGGACATGTAAAAAATAGGCCAATGGCCTGTTGCTCAACGGCTATTGTACAAAAGATTAGTGCTGTATGTGCTCAAACTTTTCGTTTAAATTTGTACTTTTAAATGAAAAATCGCCAAACAACCACACAAAGTTGTCAATGGAATAATAAACACATGTATGCCCAATACCAAAGCATTGGAAATAGTGATTAGTTGAAATTATATTTTTAACCAAAAATGACAAAATATTTGCCAAAATTAGAGAATTAAAGATATGGCCATGGGATGAACAAATCTAGTAGATGTCAACACTAGCAGTGTTCTCCCCAGGCCTTTCAAGCACTGCGGGCCCGCGTCGCTTAGACAAACAGCCGCGTCGCTTTTGTTTCGCCCGCGATCCATGAAATCCTGCCCGCGATGCTTATTCACGTTGTATTGTTTACAAGTGTCAGCCTCGTCTAGCACATCTTTAAAACAATAACATGTATTGATCGAAAGGTAATCCCGCCTTTGTACATAGTTAGCCTTACAAAAACAGTGATAAAAACGGAAGTCTACAAGAAGTTACCAAGTCTATCAAGGGTGCGGAGCTGGCAAACCCCAAAATACTAGGGTAGTAATAATTTGCCCATTGCGTCGGGATGGTCTATCCCGAGTTGCTGCACTGCGATTAATTGCGTTTTTACTACTTCATCGCCAGTGACACTATCTACCAAGAATTAAATCAAAGAAAGCTTAGAAAGAACTCCCATGTGCTGAGAGTATTGGAGACACATTAAATATAATTCGAAATTACTTAGCTGAAAACTAATTATGCGATTCAGAAAATTAATATGACCAGATTTGAGTGTAAAACTAATGAGGTCTGCTTAATGTAACAGAAAATCTATGTCTCCAAGTTTAATTGAAATGTGATTAGAACCAAAAAAAATTATGAATTATTATGCTTATTAGGGAATTAATATGAACAGATTTTTACCCCAAACTAATTAGGTTTGTACATTGTCCTAGAGCATCTTTGTACTAAGTTTCATTGAAATGGAATAATTAGTACCGTGAAAACTCCAAAATTTCGACCCCACTAAAAATTGCGGACTCATTCTTATTCGAAAATTGCGACCAGTTTTAGTTTTCCCCCAAACGAAAAAAAAACCGATGTGAGCGTTCAAACGGGACCTTCCTCGAAGGCATGAATCCGGGTTTCTGATTGACTGAGAGATTTTTATTTTATTGGTAACGAAAATATATTCTAAATAAACGAAGTTTCAAATAAAAACGAACACAAAAATCTCAGCATGCTGCGTTT